TATGTATATATATATATATATATATATATTGTCACAAACAGAATTGCCCGGTGAAACGTAGGCAGAGAGAGAGAAGAGGACAACAGACGAGGGGCTGTGACAAACTGTTTCGTCGGAGTTTCACCGACTCATCAAGAGGCTGAACCCTCAACAGTCTGCAGAATCCCCTCACTGATTACACTGTAAATGATAAACTACCTTAACCAAAATCAAAGTAGACTATCACTCACCCACACCAGATGGAAAACTCTATAGACTGTCGGTTCACACCCCATCACAAGCCAGCAAAACATTCACGAAACAAAGAAAGGTCTGTCACAGCCAAAAAATACACTCCAGACATGCCGCTAGCACTAGAGGCACAACATGGCCGCCTAGTAACGGCCCCGACCACTGCCGCTCGACCTGACCGGAAAAAACCGTAGCAGGAATATATATATTATATATATACATATATGGCGGTGTATCGTTCCATATTCTAGTATAAGATATTTTCTCATAATGCACATCTGCATGAGTAGTGGAGCGAGGCCTGAAATCACAACGGTGGACTATGCAGGACTTGGCGCCTCCCTCCTCTACTCACCAAATGTGCAAAATGAGAACGAATCTTCTACCAGAACGCGGGAAGATATATTGCCCTATTATTTATCTTTTGTGCATGTCGTGACTACCAGTAGTAGTGCAGGGAGGCCTCATGCCTGTTCAGTGATGGAAATGGGCCTCGATCCACTGCTCACCAAATATGCAACATGAGAATGAATCATCCCATCGAAGATGGAAGGATACACGCCATATTTTTTTTTCTTTTTGAACCGGGTTTTTGCAAGCATGTATGCCCCAAATGACCCACAAGAGAGACTAGCATTTTATGAAACTTTCCCTCTGGTCTTCCTGCCAAACTCGAAGAAATTGGTCATAGACGGTGCTTGGAATCGAGTATGTGTGTCGGGATTAAACTCAGAAAGGAATGACGATTAAAAGCAGATCGGTCGACTTAATTAAATGGCAAATGGCATGGGGACTGAGAGATGTGTTCAGCGATAGTAACCCGGTTAGCCTTGGTTTTACTTGGTTCGGGAATCCGATTACCGCACCCTTCACGAAGCGAAGACTGAATTACTTCCTGGTTTCGAAAAAAACCTAAAAACTAGTTATCAAAGTTGGAGAACTATAACTTTCTCGGCCTTTTGGCTAAGATCAAGTGTAGTATCTGTTCTGAACAGTTTAATATCTGATACGTGCTCTATTAGGCCATATTACAAAAAAATAAGAAAAAAAAGGTGGGGAACAAAGCCCACATGTCATATCATAAGTTGGTGGTGATGGACCTTACCATGGGTCACTCCGTTGAGAGGGGACCAATATTATTTAGACTGAACATATCAAATCTGGTTGATGAAGGCTGAAAGGTTTGGATTAGCATTTTTTTAGCAGCATGGAGAGCATCTAGAGAGCATTTTGAATCTAGAGTTGAATGGATGGACGCAGGGTTGTGGATAATTGCACAGAAGTTTGATACCTTCTCGTTGATAGCAACATATCAAAGAAACGCCGAAGAGAGTCGCCTCTTGAAAAGGGTGCAGGATGCAGAGAAAAATATACAAGGACACTCAATCTTTGAGATGGTATGGTCCGAAGAGATAATAGTTAGACTTGATGAGTCGAAGGAATTCCAGTGCAAAAAGGAGAAATAGTGGAGGCAACAACTGGCAATCAAGGGAATTATCACATCAGATAGGATCATGAAGGAATCCTTCAAGAAGCTACTGCTGTAGAGGAAGCAAGTTCTCATGACTGAACTTCAACACCCGCTTCTCTCAGACCTGCCCAGAGCAACCACCTTGGACCAGATGAGCGAATCTGCCATGGCATATTTTCAGGGCATACTCACCACTAGGAGGGTAGAGGAAACAATTGATACCGATCTGTCAGCTCAAACTTATCTATGGGACGATTTATCAGCAACCCTCCCATCACTTTGGAAACAAATGTTCGATCGACTGATCATCTTTGAAGAACCATGGCAAACAGTAAACATTATGGCCAGAGGAAAATTCCCCGGAGATGATGAGCTTCCAATAGAGGTAGCATGGCATGTCTAGCCAGATTAACTGTTCGGAACATCCGGGGGTAAAAAGGTTCATCCGAAATTTATGGAGAAATTATAGATAATAAAAAAAAATGAATTAAATTACCATTTTTTGTTTTTATTTTTTAGATTTGATAGGAATTTTGAAATGAATTCATGCCAAAAGTTGTTGGTATTGTTATAATCTACAATATACGTGTTTTTCATTTTTTTTTTAGATGTTTTTTTTTTTTTTTGAAAAGTACCCATTTTTTTACCCTTCGGATGTAGTTAATCCGATTTCATCCGGGCAGTATTATCCGGCCTGCAAATCTGGATAAATCAAGGGTGACCGGATATCCGGATTTGCTACTTAGGTTTTAAGTGGGTTGTCGGAGTTCCTTGGAGGAGGACCTGATACAAATGTACGAGGACATTTTGTTAGGAGGAAGACTAGGGAGGACAATGACGAGGGAAGTCAGAACTCTTATGTTTAAGAAAGGAGACAAAGCGCAAGTTAAAAACTGGCAGCCCATCTCCCTGTTAACCGCCAATTATAAGATCCTCGCTAAATCATTAGCCTCGAGGTTAGCCGATGTCTTGGGAAGAGAGCAAGGGACATTTTTTAAGGGGAGGTTAGCCGATGTCTTGCCAATACTGGTGGGAAGAGAGCAAAAAACATTTTTAAGGGGATGTAAAGCTTTGAGAACATTCTAACAATAATTCAGGTCTTGGAGGAGGTACGGTCGGATGATAAGGAGGTTGTAGTCCTATTATTAGACCTTGAAAAGATCTATGATAGGGTAAAGTGGACATTTGTCATGACGATCCTGAGGAAAATGGGGTTTGGGGAGTGTTTTTGCACTATAGTAAACGCGTTGTATGCTTCTTCGACTGCAACAGTCATGGTTAACGAAAAATGCTCAAAGGAGTCCGAGCTGAATAAATTCCTAAGACAGGGCTGTCCAATCGCCCCCCCTCCTCTTTGTCCTGCAAATGGATGTTCTAGTGAACAAGATCAGTAGGCGTCACCTCGTGGGGTTCCTGATCATTCGGTTACATACAAAATCGAAATAATAGAAAAAAGTGCTTCTTCAAAAGTTATCTTCTGTACAGAGATGAAAGGAGTGCTCCTTCAAAAGATTTCTTTTGTACGAAGACGAAAAAGACATCGATGAAATGATTGATCATGAAACAATTATGCTTACTTTGTTTCAATTCGATGCACATGACCTTTTCATACTCGAGAAAGAAGGTAAACTACAAATGTGCATCGACTACCGCGACTTTAACAATATCACTAGGAAAAATGCTCATCCTTCGCCACGCATAGATGACTTACGATGTTGCATGTGGGTGCCAGGTCTCATCCAAAATCAACCTCAAATTTGGCTGCCAACTATGCCCTTTCTTCTCACAAATGCACCTACCACATTTCAAGGAGATACACTTCTGACGTAACTTAGAGAATTACGAGTTTGGGAGCAACATCATCATCTATCTCGAGCACTGATTATCTGCTACTGCCCTTCAGCCTGAGGCAGCCAAGATTGAGGTCATATGAAAGTCTCCTTCACTGGTCAATGTGCGCAAACTGCGTTCCTTTCTTGATTTAACTTCATCTCTATACAACTAAAAGTTGCAGCAGTCCCGCCGTCACACGCAACCATGAACCGATAAAAAACTGTGGGACTGGCGGAGCCAGCCACGGCGCAGGGAGATGAAACGGTGCAGCGCGAATGGGAGATGGGTCGTGGGGGGAACGGTGGGGCCGTCGGGCGCATGGGGAAAGTGACACGGGGGCGTAGAAAGCAAGCGCCGGGCAAACCGCATTCCAACAAAGTGGAGTAGGGGCCCACGCGGGGAAAGCAGCAGCAGGGCAGGACGCAAAAAAAAAACGCTGCGGGAAAAGACAAGTGGGGTGAGTGCAAAGAGCCAGCGCGCGTTGCAAGGTAGCATGCAAGCGCTGAACGAGACGCCATCTCAGTGGATGGAGGAGATAATGGGCAACACCAGCGCAACAACCATGAGCAAAGTGTATGATAGGTGAGGGCGATCGTGGCGCCGCGAGCGAGCGAGAAGATATAGAGAAGTGCGAAGTACCGCTACCGCTAAGGGAGATTGTCGTGCAATGAGCGAGGGAGAAGATACAGAGTGTAGGGAGCGCGTAGTGAGAACAGGGGGCAAACTATAGCAGCGGAGGGTGGGCGGGAAACGAGAAGAGGAAGCAGCGAGAAAATCCGGGTGATAAAGGAGCCAATGCCTGAGAGGTCATCGCAGCAAAGAGGAGCGGGAGGAGGAGCGGGAGAAGGAGCACGAGCAGGAGGAGCGGGAGGAGGGGCAGCGGGAGAAGAAGAGGGAGGAGGAGCGGGAGGAGAACGAAGTTATGGTGGAGGAGCAACGGGAGGTCACTCTCTCTCTCTCTCTGTGACTAGCCACGTGGCGGGCCTTTCACGTTGTTTGGTGAAAAAGCGGGAGGAGGAGCGGGAGAAGGAGCACGAGCAGGAGGAGCGGGAGGAGGGGCAGCGGGAGAAGAAGAGGGAGGAGGAGCGGGAGGAGAACGAAGTTATGGTGGAGGAGCAACGGGAGGTCACTCTCTCTCTCTCTCTGTGACTAGCCACGTGGCGGGCCTTTCACGTTGTTTGGTGAAAAAGCGGGAGGAGGAGCGGGAGAAGTGGGAGAAGGAGCAGGAGGAGTGGGAGAAGGAGGAGCGGCAAGAGGAGCAAAAGGACGATTCGAAGAAGGACCAGGAGGAAAAACGAGAAGGTGCGGGACGAGGGGTGGGAGAAGGAGTGGGAGGAGAAGTGGGAGGAGGAGCGGCATGGGAAATGGGGAGGGGGTTAGGAAGGAGGGAAGGGTTCAAAGGGGTGGGGGGGGGACGGGTGGACGGGGAACCACTCTCTCTCTCTCTCACACACATACACCTAGTCGATCAATCAATTAATCAGTCGAGCATTAATTGATTTGGGAAATTCGGGTAGGTGGAGGGTTGACGGGAGGCAATGGAGTGCGTCGATTGATTGATTGATTGATGATTGATAGATATAAAAAAAAAAAAAAAAGATCACCCCGCTCGAATCGATCAATCAATCAATCAATCAATTAATCCCCCATTCGATAGATTGATTGATTGATTGGGGAAATGAAAAGGAAAAGGCGGCAGGAGAAGCAGCGAGAGGGGCAGGAGGAGGAGACAGAGTAGATGAGGAGCAGGAGGTGGGGAAAAAGGAGCCTGCGGAGGGCGAGGAGGAAGAGGAGGAAGAGGCGCAGCGGGATAAAGAGGAGGAGGAGCCGAAGGAGGAGCGGGAAGAGGAGGAGGAGCCGAAGGAGGAGCGGGAAGAGGAGGAGGAGCAGCAGGAGAAGAAATGGCGGGAACCCACTCTCTCTCTCTCTCACACACATACACCTAGCCGATCAATCAATTAATCAATCAAGCATTGATTGATTAACTGACTTTTCGTTTTCTGTTTGGGAAATTCGGGTGGGTGGAGGGTTAACGGGAGGCAATGGAGTGGGTCGATTGATTGATTGATGATTGATCGATCAAAAAAAAAAAAGATCACCCCGCTCGAATAGATCAATCAGTCAATCAATCAATTAATCCCCCATTCGATAGATTGATTGATTGATTGGGGAAATGAAAAGGAAAAGGCGGCGGGAGAAGCAGCGGGAGGGGCAGGAGGAGCGGCGGGAGGAGGCCTGGGAGGAGGAGCACGAGGAGGAGAAAGAGTAGATGAGGAGCAGGAGGTGGGGAAAAAGGAGCCTGCTGAGGGGGAGGAGGAAGAGGAGGAAGAGGCGCAGCGGGATAAAGAGGAGGAGGAGCCGAAGGAGGAGCGGGAAGAGGTGGAGGAGCAGCAGGAGAAGAAATGGCGGGAAACAGAGAGGGGGAGTTAACGAACGTGGGAGGAGAAGCAGCACAAGGAACTGCGGGAAACGGGGAGGGGGAGTTAACGAACGTGGGAGGAGAAGCAGGAGAAGGAACGATGGGAAACGGGGAGGCGGAGTTAAACACGCGGGAGGAGACGCAGAAGAAGGAACGAACGAAGGTGCAGGAGGCGGGTACAAAAAGTGGAAGAAGGAACGAACGAAGGTGCAGGAGGCGGGTACGAAAAGTGAAAGGAGGGAATGGAGGAGACGGGTACGGCAGGGGAGGAGTGGACGTGGACGCACTCTCTCTCTCTCACTCTGTCTCACGTGCACACACACACATACCTCTCCCCCCCCTCCGCCATGTTCTCCTTGCGCTCTTCTCTCCCACCTCAATCCATCAGTCAACCAATCTATCAATTAGTCAACCAATCGATAGATTGATTGATTAATTGAGGGGAAAAAAAGAAAAGGCGGCGGGAGACGCAGTGGGAGGAGGAGTGGAAGGAGGCCTAGGAAAAGGAGTAGGAGAAGGAAGAAGAGTAAACGAGAAGCAAGAGGAGGTGCCGAAGGAGCGGGAGAAGGAGTGGGAGGAGGGGGACGAGGAGGAAGAGGAGCGGGAGGATGAGCGGGAGGAGGAGGAAGAAGAGGAGGAGGAGGAAGAGGAGGAGGAAGAGGAAAAGCAGGAGGAGGAGCAGGAGGAGGAACAGGAGGAGGACCAGCAGGAAACGGGGAGGGGGGGTTATTGAATGGAGGAGGAAAAGCAGGAGAAGGAATGGCGGGAAACGGGGAGGGGGAGTTAACGAGCGTTGGAGGAGAAGCATGAGAAAATACGGCGGGAAACAGGGACGGGGAGTTAACGAACGAGCGGAAGGCCAGTACGAAAAACGGAAGGAGGGAACGGAGGCGAGGGGTGGGGCGGGGGAGGAGTAAACGCGGATGTTCTATGTGTGTGTGTGTGTGTGTGTGTGTGTGTGTGTGTGTGTGTCTCTCTCTCTCTCTCACACACACACACTCCTCTC